GTCGAGCGTAAACGATTTCGTTCTGTTGCAAGCTTAAGGCCTTATCGTACTTTGTAGCAGCGTCCACCGGCGACCAATAGCGTCCACCAGCGTTCCGAGCGTTCGGCAGCGTCAGCGACTAGGAAAGTATAGATATCGATCTAGCGTTTGCCAGCGTCCACTGGCGCCCAGCGTCTCGAAGGCTAGCAAAGTATAGGTATCGATCTACCAGCGACTAGCAGCGTCCGGGAGTGGAGAGTATGGGGCGATAGGAGGGTAGCAAACAGCTGGTAGAGTAAGGGAATAAGACGGTAGCAGACTGCTGGTACTGTATGGCGCAGTAGGAGGGTAGCTGGCAACTGGCAACCTCCTATCGTGCCATACTCTATCAGCAGCCTGCCACTCTCCTATCGCCCTGTAGTCTCCACACCCAGACGCTGCTGGTGGCTGGTAGACGCTGGGCAGACGCTAGATCGATATCTGTGCTTTTCCTGCCGCAAAGTATGAACGCAGACTCATGGAAGTTACCGGTCTCCACAGGATGAACTGGCAGTGATCGATGGAAACTGGTCACATCCCCCACCTAGCAGAACTGCCCAAGTCTCATTCTTTCACATGGCCTAAAAATCCCGCATAACTTCTCGTGAATTTATCATTGGAAAAATATGGCTAGGCTGTGGTACGTATCATTGATAGCCCTGAGAGTTGGGCGAGTGTTGTGCCTCGGACCCAGCTGTGCTTTATGAAGTGAATGCCCTCCTTCTTCTGAGACCACTTTCACCAATGATTCTCTTGCTCACTAAATGAAAAGGCTTTGTCCTTTGGATTGCGCCATGCCCTCGGCCTTCATTCGTAAGAATTTCATTGTACTCTGGTTTCATGGAGATGATTTAATGGGATCACTGTACAATTTCATGACTCCCGAAGCTGCCAGAGACGTTATTCCTTTCTTACCGGCTTCGATATCGCACCGCGTTTCGAAATCAGCACAGTTCGTCAGAGTCGACGGGCCATCTGCACTGTAGCCCAGTCAATTTCCCTGACCTTACCCATGCTGTTTTGTCCGTTGTGCAACTGGTAGATCTTGCTAAATCTACCCTAAGGCATTCAATATAATCTCAACTGAAGTAGTTTTTCATTGTGATAAGCTTTCAGCTGTTCAATGTCTTCGCGGAGGAGCAGACTTGCCCAAGTGTGGACAGTCAGACATTGGATGAATTATGGACTAAAAAGTTTTTGCTGTTGTTTGAATGTCACAAAGAGCTCAATAAAAAAGTGAAGGGTAAGTTTGGTACTGCGCACCATAAATACTTCGTATGTAATGGGGTGAAATATTCAGCGTTAGGTCAGTGGTCTGTTCCTGATCGAACCCCTTTGTCTCGGGTTACTGTCGTAGCAGTGGAGGTGAAAAACAAGCCACCGAAGAAAGCTCCGAAACGTAAACGTAATGCGCCAGCTGAAGAGACGGAATCCGCGGAGGTATGTAACGTCTTTTGTTTTCTTGCCGACTGAGGTTTTTTTTTCTAGAAGCCTGATTTTTTTTTGCCGATTTTAGGGCATTCTGCCTCCTACCCAGGCGGTACCGTCTAAAGACATTGGTCCGAAGAGGTATGCTAGAGCGTATCACCTTATTCGCGCGTGATTCTCTTGATTTTTCAGGCCGGAAGAAAGTCGTGGAAAGAAGGAATGTGGAAAGAACGTCGCTTTGGCGAAAATTACGACATGCATGAAAACCGTGAAGCTCTCTGCTGTGGTTAGATTGTTAAAGGTCTGTGAGTCTTCCTTCGTCTGAGATCCATGTAAGCGGTCCTAGGTATATGGTGAATTATCAGGCCTAGCTAACTGTTTCTAAGGGATACATAACATGATGCAGATGATTCGCTGTTCGGCTTGGTGGGGGGCATTTTGCTCTTTCGCTAGATGCCTTTGTTTGCTCATGTGAATTAGCAAACCTCACCAAAATGAAACGTATGAGCTCTTGTGAAGCTAAGGTATAGTGCAAACAAGCCTTTTTAATTGCGAGAGTCTACAAGTCTTACAAGTACAAATAAATAAATAAAGTCTTCATAAAATAGCGTGTATAGGCTTTGCTGAGTATTATTTGAAGCCACCACCAAGCCCGACTGCGTCTGCTGGCGACTTAATGTTGGCTGTCGTTAATTAGCATTAAAAGAAACAAATGCGAAATAAGAATTTGCGGGATCCAGTGGGGGGGGGAACAAAAATGATATTTCAGTCTTCCAAGGCATCTTCCAAATTGGCTCTGCACAAGGGAGCAAATTTGGAGACTCCTGAGATGTTCGTCTGCAAGGACCAGTGAGCACTCCACCCCAGCATCCACAGTGACGTCGTATCAATCCAGCTACATTGGTTTAGGGACCGTGAATATACGTGGATCAAGACAGGGCTTGTTGTGTATGTTTAGAACACGGACTTGCCCCCTTCTCCGCGCGAGAGAAATCTTAGAAGTACTCTCCATAAGGCAGCGTTCAGACTTCGCGACGGCAGCGCTTTGGTCGCGCGATTCGACGATCGATGCGCATGCTTTCGACTGCATCGATCGCGTCGAACGCGCGACCGAAGCGCTGCCGTCGCGAAGTCTGAACGCTGCTCAAGGGAAATGTACTTTTCAGAGGTCTGCCCTGTATTAATTGGCGGCTGTCTCGGCTGCCCAAATCTCGTTTGTTTTGAAAAAGAGGGCTTGGTTGATGTTCACCTGAGAATAGACTGCTCGTGCCTATCTGTAGTCACTGTGCTGTGTCATCTTACTAACCACTCAGCTTCTGGGAGCAACTCGGCTTCGTTGGGGGGGGGCACCAAATGGTATTCAGTGAATTTCGTACAAGAAGCCTTGCGAAATCTCTGAACTGTTGTGACCAGAGTGCCTCACTTGTACCGTTTTGCAGCTTCGGGGTCTGAGCAAAATGAGACCCGTTAGTCAACATGCACAAACAAAGGGGACAAGAGGCCCCTCCGAAGTCGAACTGTTGTTGTTCCTGTTGCTTGGAAAGTGTTTGACAAGCCAGCTGTTGTTTGAAGAGTTTTTTTTTCATTTCTTCAATTAAGCTGATGCAAGGGAAGCGCCGCGCAACAATTTTCCTTATCGAACATCTGCTGGAAATTCTTGTACAAGTTTGTCCGAGAGTGGGCAAGAAGTCATTACCGTGGGCGAAGGTGAGTTTGTTTCTGGAGGATTGCTCCTTGACTAGAGGACCACCACTCAGGATTCCCATTAAGGATTCCTGTATTCTTCCCTGTGACATCATTGTTCTGTTGCCTTTCATTAACCGCTTACCGGTTTTCATGATTTAGGGAGAAACTCCTCGTGCATCATGCATCCATGGTGACCTGACAGTGATTTTCAGTGAAATCGAAAAGGTATGTCGTGATTTACCCCTCCTATGGTCGCATACAGAATTCAGGCCTCTAGACCTGGAAAAATGAGTAGGAAACAAGCGAGTGGTGCTAACGGCTGTGGGCACGATGGCTGGGGGTGGGCTGTTGCTGCCGTCGGTAGAAGGGCTATGAGAGGGCGCTTGGCTACTCCCCACTCTGACTTTCCACCAATGACGTTGGCAGCAGCTGCCCGCCCCCTCTAAAGGGCAGCAATCGTGCTTACCGACTTCGAGGGCAAATATTCCTAGTCTATGAAAGAAAAAAAGGTGGAAAATATGACCCAACTCACCCGCCAACCTTATACGTATGGTTCGAATAACGTATTGCTTTCGTTTAGTTGCTGCCCATATTTTGGAGTACATTTTCCAAGACAGCATCGTACTTCCGTGATCTCATGAATTCGTCTGATATTGTGACAACTGAGACTGATGTGGGTTTTTTTTTCATCAGTCAGTTTCATGACTTGAATTTATAGTTTCAGCTGAAACATTCGTTCATGATTTCAGGTTGTTGAACAGCTTGCTGGTTTATTCCGATTGTGTTTAGCGACATTGGAGCATTTGTTTTCATGGTAGTTACGTTCATTTATTTACATACCCTACTGGAAGGGGGGGGGGGCATTGTGGCGCCCAATCAAAGTTTACGTTGTGTCGAGTACTGGCTTGTTTACTGCGAACGCTGGCGTTTTACTAGGTCCAACCAGGGGGTAGATCAGGGTGCCAACCTGGTCTCCACCGTTTGTAGTCATCTATCAGATCCCACAAAAGGTGGAGAACAAGCTGGCGCCGCGCCAAACTCGCCCCCCTCCCTCCTTCGTTAAACGCCCCAGTTTCCGAACAAGACTGTACATGGAAAACCAAAGCGAACCTGACATGTTCCTTACAAGCAGGAGCGATCCCTTAACCTCTGATTCCATCGTCGCGAGAAGGTAAAACCATTTATCTGTCGTGCTCCAAACGACCTGCAGTATTTGCGGACCGTCTTGAGCTTGGCGCAGCTGCGCAATTCTCTGTGTTGAATCTTACAAGCTGGGTCCAGCAGACTGTTGCCTGGGTGCAGGAAAACAGCAGCCTTCCAGCCGTTTGGACGACGTCCTTTTGAAGAGGTATCGGCACGCTGAGGCTCCCAAGGGCCCAAATGATCCCTTCCACATCCCATCACTCCGAGAAGTGTCCCTTGTTTGTCCCTACTCTTTACATTTCCTGCCTTGGTAACCATACACTAGAGTTTATTATCGTATTGTCAGGGTAGGGTGCAACATCGTGATGCGTAAATGGCGATGTCAGTAAGACCCCCCCCAACATTTCCTCATCTGCTTATCATCTTAGCAGCTTTTTTCCAACTTCCTACCAGTTTTCTGACAAAAACCCGCCTCTTGAGCAGGCATGAAGGAGGTCATCGTCAATCGACTACTAAATCCTACTTCAACTAGTCCCGTCAACTAACAATAAGAGAGGGGGGGGGGGCTGGTATACAGCAAACATAATACGAGAAAATCGAGAAAGGTCGACAGCCGGAAAGTTCTGTTAGGGGGCTTGGAGAAAAATTTTGAGAGCAAATACGACACTTCCCCCCCCCCCCCCCCTCCCCCAAGCGACCATCTAGTAGAGGTTCTCCCAGCGATACTGCATCCTTATTGCAGTGCTACACAGAGATTTTTCAACCGTCTCTTCAACATTCATTGGAATCTTCAGGAATCACATTACTACGTTACCAAGCGATTCTGATGCAGTAATGTCGAGAAAGAAGAGTCGTCGTGAAAAGTTGATGGAAGCTATTGAACATTGCATGTTACAAGAGGATGGCGAGGTTTTGGTCCACCGACCCCCCCAAGCGATTAGTGAATATAATATTTATTTTCAGAGAAGTGCCGGAAGTGAAGCCGAGACTAGCATTTATGGATATTTAGTCGGCATTTGTGAACAAGTTCCGAATGTCAGCGTAGCTGTAGCTGTTCTTGATTGTGTCTCAGTTATTCAGTCGCCGTCCGAAGAGCTCAGTAATAAAATGGGTTGGTTACTCATTCTATTTAGGCACAGTTCCGCTCAGTGGGGGCACCAGATAGCATACAGCTGAGATTGCATAGGGCAGGGCACCCTGCGAAGACCTGCAATTCCTGTGACCAAAAAGGCTCCCTCGTACCACCTTGCAGCTTCGCAGGAGTTTACAGGTCCCACCAAAGTGAAACCTGTTAACTTGCTGAACTACAGAAGGAACTAGCGAAAGGTCAGATGTCACCCCCACCCTCCCCCTCCCAAGCCTAACAGTGCTTCGGTTTATATCAGGCTAATGCCCGCTGCTTTCCGCATTTCTCTAGGTGGTTCTTGTAGTATAAGCAGATTTTGCTTCAGCTCGACACGCGCTGGGATTCCTGAAGAAGGAGTGGTTGGACAAGGAGGGAAAACCGATAAAAGGCGCGAGTTTAACATCGGCTGTCAGAAAGTTGTTGAGGTGAGTTACATGGTATTCTAGTCTTGTTTGTTGCGGGTGATTGGACATGTCTGGGGTGGATTTGGCGCGGCGCCAGCCTTTTTTGTCAACAATGTTGGAGCGCTTAAAGGGACACGACTTTGTTCGTATCAGTCGTCTTCCACCAATTGTGGTCGCTTGCTCGTTTCAACAGCTGTTGGTGTGCAAACTGTTGGCGCGCCAAACTGATTCCGCCAGACACGCCCCAGCAATAGCAGCGAGCAAGACCCTATCCCCATTTTGTGCATTCTGTAAATGTCGTTGTTTTGCTAGCCACTATCTTCGTCTTCGACCGGTGAACTACCGTTTATGTGCGATTCAGTGGATCCTTGCGAAGAAACTTGCCGACTTGGTATGTACTACCGAGTTTTTTTTATACAGTATCCTTCACCAACCACATGATTTCAGCTTCGCGCTAGTTGCGCGCTTTCATAACAATGTACTGGTTCATTTCCTACTGGGAGACTTTCTCCTGGAATTCTTTCAGTGTCAGTAAATTTTTCCTGAAAACAGGGCACATCGCTTGGCGATGAGGGATTCCAGTAAGGGGGAGGGGGTGGGGGAGAAGAGGAGGAGGGTCGTATTCGTTAGCTGGAGGGAGATCGATCCTGTTTGTTTTTATTCGCGGTTTCCCTTTTCTCCCTGTTTCAGGCGCGCTATTTAGCCCCCACTTAAAGTCAATTCCTTCAATCAAGTGTTACGGGTAGTAGGTACTCAGTCATGAACCAGTAGCCCATAGGTAAATCCCAAGTAGAGAAAGAAGCGAAAAAAAACCTTGGGACACTCTGGAACAGAGACCTTTCTTGGCAGTGGGCGCCTTGGACGAGTTTGTCGGACGTCGGCAAGCCCAATCAGCAGGATTTGACGTGCAACCGATTCCCGGCAAGAGCACAGGAAATCACCCTAGCGCACAACGTTGCCAAATGCACGGAGACATCGCGCGAACCACTTGATCGCGGGGCTGTCTTGAATCCACCCCGCTCCACCCCGTTCGATGGCAGCTCTGAGATCAAATGTAGAGGATTTTCAGGAAAATGTGGAAAAGTGGTAGGAAGTTAGGAAAAATTAGAAGTGTGGTAGCGTACTATGAGGTGTTATTCTGACTTTTGGGAATGTGTCCTCTTTCTCTTTGAAGGCAACCGCGACCACAGATTGTGGGTAACGGAACCCACATAGGAACGAAAAAGGGCTAGGTATCTGAGTAGCGGAGAAAAGCAGCAGAAAAACAGCCGAAAATGCCCTAAATAGGATTCCATATCGACCCCAACTTGTACATGCATGCAATGAAGAAAACGCATGTTTGTACGAATTTCCACTCGTCGTTATCATAAAGATATCAGCTCTTTTATCGTATCACCTCACTCTCACCATTCGGAATGGAGAGAGATAGCATAGTGGCTACTGCTAGCTAGTAGGCAGCCGGTGGGGTCGGCATGGGCCTAAGGGGCGCCCTTGGGCCTAATTGGTTAGCTTGAAGCGGAATTCTTGCGGATTTTCACTTTCTAAAGGTAGCGCAGCCTCCGCAATCTCCTTCCGGATCGTCTGGCACATTTGAAAGGTCATAGCCTTATTTTATCGCGGAAAGTGCCTTTAACGGGGCCTTATTTTATCATTTTCGAAGACGGATCGATATGATGCCGCCTCTAAAGCTTTAATTTCAGATTCCACATGAGGAGAAACGCAAAAGTAAACTCTACGAGCAAGATTCAGATGATCAGGAACTGAACGAGCGCTATACAAACCAAATTTTCGCCTGCTTTACAAGGTAGGATTGTTTTGGTCTTCATTTTGAATGATTTCCGGGCACGTCCGGGCATCTTGCCTATTCAGGGCCACTTTTGGTACTATATACAAAGTGCTGTTTGTCGCAATGAATGACGCATTGGCAGCAACTGAAATAACACCTAATAGTTCTAATATGCGGAGAGCACCCGTACAGGAGGTAAGCGTTCATCCTCACAGGCAGCCAGCTGGTTTTACTAATGAACTTTGTAGTATCTTCGTACGTGGTCTATTGCGGCTGGATGTGTGGCGTTATTTGGATTGATGCTACGTGTGCGTGAGCTCAGGAATACGTCACTTTTGGTAACGGCTATCAAAGAAGGGCGGCGTTTCTTGGCGATGATGTGTAATAAGAAGTCAGTGTATCTCAATAATGCCTATTTCATTTCTCGAAGCGTAAGGCTGCACTCAGGCATCGCGGTGACGCGCGTCGACGCGCCACGTCGCGCTGCCATTGCAATGGCGCTTCAAAACTATAGAGGAAGTATAGACAGAAACACAGCCATAGACGCGAATGTGATAGGCGCCGGCCGCTAGTGTTTTGAGAAAGTGCAGGATGATAGGAGGGTACCAGATTGTGTGAAACACCTTCCCTCCTAAACTCTCTCAAAACACTGGCGGCCGGCGCCGATCGACACCCGTCTATGGCTGCGTTCCTGTCAACAGCATTAAGGCGCCACTGCAATGGCAGCGCGTTGGAGCGCGTCGACGCGCTTCGCCGTCATTGTTTGGTGCTCTTGCAGGCTCATATGTCACTGGTAATTTTTCAGCAGCTCTTTTATGTATCTGCTGGAGGAGAAAAGTCGTCTGGCCAGTGTGACTGATCATGTTGTTGAAGTCATAAAGTCGGTACAAATTGGAAATCGAAATTTCCAGAATATCTGTGTCCATGCGAAGGTGAATGTTCAAGTTGTTATTGCTTCTAAATGGGTAGAAGCCGTACGGGGTCAAAGACACATTCCGCGGTAACTGATGTGCTGGATCAACAGTTGATAACGCCGCAATCAATCGGGGCGGTATCAGGAGGCGCGGAATAAGCTCGCCTTCGGCTGCCTTGCTTTTTCTGGGTGAATGGTCAGTAATCGATTTGGAAGGAAGGCAACCAGGAGTGGAAGCGTTGCTTGTCGGCTTTTAACATCCCCTTGATGTGCCGGACTGACTGCGATCTTACAAACTATGAACGAAACTAGAAAAGTGCACTTAGTTTTCTGGTACTTTTTTATCCTCCCGAACAATTTTTCTCTACGCTTCGCAAGGGATGGAAGATCAATCTACCTAGCCTAAGCTGGCACTTGTGCCACTTTCACTGCACTGCAGATGATTGCAACGCCCCTACTGACATCTCTTTTTACATTCTTGGTTCGGGAGGAAAAAAGTGAATGGAAAATTTAGCGAAATCCACCTAATTTTTCGACCACTATGTTACCCTCCCAGACAATTCCTACGCATCCCGAAGCATTACTACAGGCAATTGCAACGCATTTTACTGAAGCTGCCTCTTTTCAGATTCTCAGTATGACGGAGGTGGTTTAGTGCTTATCACGCGCGCGGTCCAAGGGTCAGATCCCGGATCGACTTCGGCTCAGGACAACTAAGCCTTCTACCCTCCGGGACGGTAAATTGGTACCAGATTCGTCTGGGAGGATAAAACACTGACTTGTACATCGGCTGGCCGCAAGTCATTGTATAGGCCACATCGCATTCAATGAGCAACTACGATTCCAAATAGAAGAGAATGCGTGCCGCATCCCAAACAGTAGTTGTAGCGAAGACTTTATCCTTTATCATTCTCAGTGAGGTATAAAAGGATGAATTCTTTGCTGTTGATGCTTTGTGGAATGCGGCACGCATTTTACTTCCATTCAGAATCGTAGTGGCCTATTGAGTGCGCGTAGCCCGTACAATTAGCGAGGGCAAGGCGATGTGGGAGGGAGGGCAGAAGCTTGACACTCGTTAGCGGGAACTGATTTGAGATTCGACCCCCGAATCCCACCTAATATACCTCAGAAGTTGAACTGTTTTTAGTGTTTTTTCCGTGATGTCAGCTCATGATTGTTCTGTAAAATGGGATAACTGGCTGAAAATTTGATGGATGTTCGAGCTGTCTTTATTTAGGCGAATCGATCAAACATTCTTCTAAAGCTCGTGCCTGATTTCCGTGTGACAAATGAGCAATGGATGAGAGCGATTCAGTCGAAACTCGTTGGCATTAACTGTCAAGACGCATTTGAAATCGGCCTGCTCAAACCTCGAGATATAAATGTGAGCCCCTTGAATCCCGCTTGTTCACGTTTTTCAACTTCCTGAATCTTCCTTGCTTAGTGGATCATTTTCAGGGAGAAGAAATTGTGCTCACTGAAGATGAACAAAGTTGCTCCACAAGTTCAGATTCAGAACCAGTAGAGGAAAATGGCGCTGAAGAGGTTTCTCTTATACTCATTTAGGCGCTGCTCGACTAGGGGGGGGGGCATTTTACTGGTTCCCGTCGACCACTGCCGATGCCTTCCGTGGAGGCCGGTAAATTCCTATAGAACTGAATAATAGCAGGAGCTCCGTTTACGCTTAATACTTTGCGGCAGCGTAGCGTAGCGCTTCCAGCGTACTTTGCGGCAGTGCCGGGGAGGGGATGGAATCGATCTAGCGCTCCAGCGTCCGGGGGTAACCGCTATGTCGTGACGCCAGCGGTTTGCTGGCGTTTGCAGCGGCAGGGGAGTAGAGACTATGTGGCCGTCAGAGACGCGCAATCGATGTGTTTTGTACCCTCCAGCTCTCCCATAGTCTCTACTCCCCTGCCGCTGCAAACGCTAGCAAAACGCTGGGTGTAACGCGGTACGAGAAACGTCTGGCGTCAAACGCTCGTGACGTCTGAAACGCTATGATCGATATGCTAGTCCTCCACGGGCATCTGCCGCTGGCGTACGCCTGGAAGCGCGATCGCTTACGCTAGGCTGCGCAAAGTTAACGAGCGCCCCTACAAGAGTGCGGACTGTAGTGTATATTTTACAGTATCAAGCAGAGAGTGAACGCATGTGGCAGTGCAAAATTACCCTTTCCAAGCCGACATCCTGATTTAATTCCTGATTTTCACATATATTGTTCGGTTTCTTATTCTTATGGTGGGACACATCTGAAAAAACGCAATTTGCAATAATCACGGTCGTATGGTAACGGTTGAGTCAGTTGAACCAACAAGACAGGGCAATAATCAAAGAACATTACGCGCACACGAATGGCTGCTCAGAAAAAGGCGCAGTTCGGACTTGCTGGGGCCTCAATGGTACACATGAAACTTGTGCAAGAAGTGCTTGTTGGAGACCTGTGACAGGTATATAAGAAATTGGCACACGTTAGTCCAAGAAAAACAAATTCTACCAACAAAAGATCCTAGCGAAAGTGCGAAATACACCGCCTTGCCCCTCCCCCACCCCCAAGCCAGACATCGCCGGAAAGCATAATATCACAATTTTTTCTCACGTTATCATTCTAACCCGCTCCGTTATATTATCACTACTACTACTATTATTACTTGGAAAACTACAATATATTACTGTGAATTTGTTTCAAGGCCCAGGAAAACTCGGATGAGAGTAACAGAAGTGAAGTGTACTGATGAGCCGACTGTGATCTCGTCCTGATGATCGTCATCTTTTTAGAACACTTTATTGAATCCTGTGAATTCCCTCTTATATTACAGTGCATTCATATTTTGCGTCAGCGTTTTGGGCGACTAGAAAAGTACAGGTATCGATTTAGCGTTCTGAACATCGTTTTCAGCGACTAGGAAAGTGTAGGCTAGGAACGCTGGTGTACGCTCGGAACGTCGGACCGATACCCACACTTTTCCAGTCGCGCGTAACGACGCCCAAGACGCTGACGCAAAGTATGAACGTACTCACACACTCCTTTCCGTTGTTACAAAGTTAAGCAGTGAGCGCTTTACTTGTTTTCTTTTTGCATGTGAATTGAAAATGTTTCATATGTTCATACTTTGGTAGGTAATGTTATTTGTTGTCAGTCCCGTATTGATTTGCCTTGTTCTCTAGTTATCTGTAAATATGTCGTTGTGGATAGATTTTCGGAGATTGAAGGGATTTTCTCTGTATGCGAGCATTTTATGAATATTATAGATAATAAATCTCTGTCATTAGTTCATGTTTTTCGGCGCCTATAGCCCTGGGGGTGCTAGTTGGGTAAGACAGGTTTTAACATGGTACTTGATAGAGGGGCAAAAAGGTCAAAAAGGTGTTGAGAAGGTTGTCCGGATTCACATGTATACCGTTCACAGGATTTGGGGCGCTGACAGCGGCTACAGGTCTGCCCCTCTCTATGGTTATTAGCTATTGCGCCATTTTCCCAAACCTTGAGGAAAGTAAATAGTTCATGAGTCTAGTAAGAGGAAGCAAGCGTGCTGAAGAAGAGAAAGTTAGTTATTTTGTGCATTTTACCCTTTACCGCCGCATTTTTCGCAACAAATTTTTTCCTTGATGTTGACTTGGGCGGAATGTGGTCCCGGTGCAGTTTGATCTCCTGAATATTAATTTGAGCTACATAGTTTGACGCCCACTATAAGGACACCAGCGCTGCAGAACACTTTTAGTGCTAGTGCCAGAGTGGGCGGAGTGTAGAGCGCTATTTTTGCGTTTTCCAATGATAGAATCTACGCTTATGAAGCGAAAACCTCTCAGAACCACGAAAGTCAGCAGAGTACGCCACGCGTTTGGCGGACATTTGGGAACGTTCAGGAATGGGGTGACTTTTGGAAGTTTTGTGGCATTTGTACAGATGTAAGACTACCGTGTTGTCCACGTTAGTCAGTGTAACTTCATCTTCCGTTAGATCCGTGAAGAATTTAGCGAGGTTGATTATTCAGGGGATTAGGCTCGATTCGGCTTGGTGTGTGTGTTTTGCAAACTCCCACTGGTCACTGTCGACACTTCACAAGAGTCTACAGCTCTCACCGAAAGTGAGAAGTGTATCTT